ACTCCTGGGCTCAAGCGATCCTCCTGCCTCAGCCTCCGGAGTAGCTGGGACTACAGGCATGCGCCACCATGCCCGGCTAATTTTTTCTATATGTGCTTTTAGTTGTCCAGATCATTTCTTTCTATTTTTAGTAGAGACGGGGTCTCGCTCTTTCTCAGGCTAGTCTCGAATTCCTGACCTTGAGGGATCCACCGGCCTCGGCCTCCCAGAGTGCTAGGATTACAGGCGTGAGCCACCGCACCCAGCCTTGATGGAGTATCTTGCAAGAGAGTCCAAGAAACCACATAAGGAAATACCTTTATTTATCTATTGTGTTCATTGTGCTGAATAGAGTCTTGTACCATTTCGCTTTGCAACAACTATAAAAGCTGTTGTGCCTCATGCCTGTAGTCCCAGCTCCTCAGGAGGCTGAGGTGGGATAGCTTGGGCCCAGGAGCTGGAGGCTGCAGTGAGCTATGATCCTGCCACAGCACTCCAGCCTGGGCAAGGAAGCTAAAAAAAATAAAAAAGCTATTGTGCTGCGAGGGTTTATTCCAGTAGCCTGGAATTAGCCAGAGTTGTTTTGCTAAAGTTCCTGCATGATACTGACCCCCTGGTGAAGGGCATAAAGCATACTTATTAATGATATTGCTTTTTAACTGTGGATCTGAGGAGGTTCTGGGAGATTTGCACCAGATTGTCAAAAATGCTTACTGAAAACAGTGAGATAGATGATTTGCACCTGGTCTCAGTGAGATCCCCAAAAGGACTTTGCTACAGAGGCTGGCTATGCCTTAGGAATATGCCTTTGTGGCCAGAAAAATGTAAAATCCCCATCTGAACCTCCATCTGGGGCTCCACAGTTCAAGGTGTTCCATGCATTTGCTTCCTGATCCAAGAGAAAAAGTGCAACCAACCACATTGCTTACAGAAGGAAGGACAGTGTACCCTGCATCTGGCTTCTCTGGACCTCTTACCATGAATAGCCTTTGAATGAGATGTATATTCTTACTTTACTGTTTTTGATATATTGTATCCTCCTCCTATAACAAACTATAGATGTTGGACCTGGTGAGTCTTCTTTAGCAAGGGGATCCTATTTAACTCCCTCTTAACCGTTATACAACTGCACTTGTACACTTGTGTTTGAGTCAATGCTTTGATTGGATTATATTGTCTACAACATAGTCCCCCAAAGGGTATACGCCTATACTCCCAGTATGTTGTTCAGCATGTCGAATGGGGTCTCTTCCATTCACTATGTTACCCAAGAAACTGCAAGATGCTTGTACTTCCCTTAAGATTTTTGGCTTTCTGAGTTGACTTTCTTATGGACATCATCCTATTTCCCCAGCAAAGTTCAAGAACTTGGCATTTACATTTCCAACATATTGCTCAGCACACTGAATGGAGGACAAGAAGTTAAGGGCTTAGAAGCTGTGGTGTTGAAACGTTATTTCTATGGTACTGAAACTACCAAGAATCATGACAGGGAGAGCATGAAGGGAGTGACCATGATGCAGGGACTGAAATTGTCCAGCAATGAGAGGGAGAGAACTAGGAGTCTGTAGATGGTTGCAGCAAGGCTGACCAAGGCTGGCATAGTCTGATGACATAAGATTCAAAGCCAGAGACTTTAGAGAGGAAGGACAGAAAATGGTCTAAAATCAGCAAGGAGAACTCCATGTCCAGGCTCCAGGACAGGAGGGAATGTGAGTGTGGGAGGCATGATTCACCAGGGAAAACCAGGGTGCTATTACTGGAGGGCCACGGTATAGATACTGGGTGGGTGAGAGCCAGGGTGGAGCAGGCATTGACTGGCACTTGGGTCCATGGGATAGGGGCTCTCTGATGGAGGTGAATTCGGGGTCCACATGGTAGACTAGAGGCAGGAGGGGGAAATAAATTATAGGCCATAGCTGGGGACAAGGCTGAAGAGGGTAGAGGGCAGGGGTAGGAGCACAAAGAGGAGAAAAGTGTGAGTTTAGCGTGGGGTCATTAGGGACTGAGTCTTTACACATTTCATGTGTGGTTTGGCATGCTCCCATGGGGCCTTCAGTTGGAAGTCTCAAGTCCTGTCATATGCTGAACATGCTCAATTGTGACCACGATGTCACTTTATTTTGGTTACGGCCCTTCCACACTTACATCAGTGAGTGTATTCTTCCCTAGCCCCTGGATGAACGCTGCTGCAGGTCTTTGACGTTCCCTCTTTTTCTTAGGTAATAAACACTAGGGCTTCTACTTGTAACACAGAGCCTTAGCTGATACAGGAGACACAGCAGGCACTGGAGTATGGGTTCCAGGTGAGAGTTTCCTTGTTGAAGCTGCACAAATACAGCCTCAGAAATAATTGTATAATGTGGGGTCTGGTGGTTTTTTTTGTTTATTTTTTTGCTCACATTTCCCTTCGCATATTTTGATCATAGTTCATAATTAAGACATTAAATTTCAGTGTCATTTAGATGTATGGCAAGTATAAAATTAATACTGTAGTGGAGCTGATATCCCACATTGTAGCTAAGTTTTGGTATTTGTGGGAGTTTTAAAACAGAGCTGTAAATTCTTCAACACTTCTATCATCAAGAGGTTGGGGTCCACAGCTCCTCTCCATGAGGGTGGAGTTGTGACTACTTCCACCAAGAAAGTATGGTAAAGTAAAGCTATGTGACCTCTGAGACTACATAATAAAAGGCCATGAAGCTTCCCTCTTCTTCACTGGAATGCTCACTGTTGGAGCCCCAAGCTGCTATGCAAGACTTCCAACTACACCAAGGCCACCATGGAGAAGACTCGTTCAGATGCTCTGATCTGCAGCTCTAGTCCCTAAGTCATCCCAGTGCAGGTGGGTAAGTGAATGGGTCTTTAAATCAGAGGTTAGCCAACCTTTTCCTAAAAAACCAGATTATGTATTAATAGCTTGTGGGTCACACAATCTCTGTTACAACTACTCAGTATAAATGGCTGTGTTCCAATAATGCTTATTTGCAAAAACAGGCCATAGGCCCGTGGGCTGTAGTATTGCTGACCCTTGCTTTAGAAGATTGAAGCCTAAGATCCCAGGCTGAGATCAAGGAGCAAAGACAAACTATCTCCCCTGTGCTCTGTCCAAACCTGTGATACACAGAATCCAGGAATCTAATAAAATGGCTGATGTTTTATTCTTGCTATGTTTGGGGTAGAATGTCACACAACAATGGATAACTTGGATTGTGTTGTGTAATACAAGGCAGGCCTCATTAAGAAAGTGAGATTTGAGCAAAGACTTGAAGAGGAGAGTCAACTGGGAAGATGTGTCTCAGGGAAGAGCATTTCAGGCAGAGGGAACAGTCAGTGCAAAACTCTTAGGAGGAAGAGTGCCTGGTGTATGTGAGCAACAATAAGGAAACTGTAGAGCAGCTCTGCTGAGATTTCCTAGCAATCTTGCACAGCTCTACAGATGCCAGGCAGGCAAGGCATGACCACAGTCCGACCCAAGTCTTGTCGGACCGCCCTGTGATTGAGTCCTCTGAGAGCGGGGATAGGTAAGCCTGGTGAGGAGCCATTAGGAGGTGGTTTCATATGCCTACCTTGTGGGAGACTGCTGCAAGTTCCTTTCTCCTCCTTCTCCAAAGTTTCAGTTGACTGAAGGACTTTCCATCTCCTTCCCACCATCTCCCATCCCCGGGCCTCCCAAGGGTGCAGTGATAGACTCCTGTGAAGTCTTTAAAACTGCTTGGCTATAGTTTAGAGTTGGCTGCTCAGCAGCAGGGCTCATGTTGTGTGCTTGTCTGGGCCCCACGGGTTGGTGCCATTCTGTAGGACTAGGGACACATGGCGCTGATACCATGCTGATTTTGTTTTTGCTGTCAGTGTAAGTAATATCATGTCCAAATCCATCTGGGCTGGTGGCCAGCTAGTCTAGGGGTCAAGGGACTGCTTGACAAGAGAAATATGAAAGTGGAGTAAGGAGATGAGGCCAGAGAGGAAAGGGGGTAAGCTCACTAGGACCTTGTAGGCCTCCTATGCAGAGAGAAAGCGGGAGCCACTGAAAAGTTTGGGGAGTTTTGAGCAGAGGAATGCTGCGATCTGTGATCTGGCTCATGTTACGTTGTCAAAGCATTATAATGTATTTAGAGTGTTTCCTTTAAGAAGGTATGTATGTATACGTTTGAGTTATTGTCGTTATTAGTAAAAGTGGTTTACATTTCTGTTTTCCTTCACTTTCTCTGTTAGGGCTCTCTGGGACCCTCCACACTCCATCGCCGCCACACTGCCTCTCTCCACTCCTGCTCTGCACTCTGTTACTGACGTTCGTCTCCCACCAAGGGCGTCACCTCTCTTTGACTCCTCATGGGGGCCCGGTGAAGAGTTCCTCTCCAAGAACCCCTCCTCTGGAGGCGGTGAGCTCCTCGACGCCAGCGCGGGGTCCCGCACCTGCAGCCGGTACCCGGGAGGCGCTCGCAGGGAGCGGAATGGATGCGGCGCTCGGCAGGGAGCGCTGCTGCCGCGGCCTCGACCTCTGGGAGCACTGCTGCCAGGGTTTTCTGTCCACCAAGCCTGGATTGCGGGGACGCCTCTGGACTCTCCTCTTGGGTCCGGGGGCTGCCTCGGGCACCCTCCACTGCTCTTCCACCTTTTCTCCTTCCCTTTTTCCTTCTCACCTACACGTGGGGGACAACGGCCCGCCCTGCGGCCAGTGCCCTCTCCCCTCCTCGGCACGTCCCTCCCCTTTACTTGTCTCCAAATCCCTCAGGGATCTGTCAGCCCCGTCCCCTTCCTCTCCACCCTCCCGGTCCGTCCAGCTTCTGCCTGGGGCCCGCGCCTCCCCGCCCCCTGCCCAGCCCCCTCCCTTTCCCCTTTACGCCCCTCCTCTCCTGTCCTCCTCCCGCGCCCTCCCACCCGAACCTGCTGGAGTCCACCCAGACTCGGCCCCTGCGCGTCCCTCCTCTCCAGCCCGGGTCTGCCCCCGGCCCGCCCCTTCCAGCCCCTTCCAGTCCTCCGCGCCTCCCGCCCGCGCCTCGGCTCAGCCACTCCGGCGCTTACTGCCCTGGCCGCCGGACTGGGGCGCTTCGCCGGCGCACTCGGCCGACGACAGGGCAGGTTCGGGGCGTCCCTCTATCCCTCGGTCCGGAGAGAATTTCCAGCTCTGCGGCCCCGGGATGGGGTCGGCCCCTCCGCCGCTACTGCTGGGGCTCTTCCTCCCGGCGCTCTGGAGTAGAGGTGAGTGCGATCGGCGGGGGCCAGGCGGGGAGGGGAGTCGGAGGAGCGAGCGCTCCCGGCTGCTGGGCAAGTTTGCAAACACCCCGCCCCCCGCGGTGCCAGGGTCCGAGGTGCAAGGGAACCCGCCCGTCCACTCACTGCGGCCCCTCGAGTTCCCGAGTGCACCCAGGCTGGGTCGTGGGTGCGCGTCCCGGTGGAGCCGGGTAGGGGTGGGCACTGAGGGCTCCCCTTCACCTCAGAGGAGGGTATCTAGCTCGGCCCGGCGAGATACACGTCCCGAAGTTTTTGGCCGAGAGGAACGTAGGTTGCAGGTCTGGTCTGGAATGCGCCGAGAACTTTCCTCTAGACAGAGGTGCGTGGTTGGGCCCCTCTGTGGCGAGAGTTCTGGGGGCCGCAGATCCTGTCTCCCGAGGGACCGGAGCCGGGCGAACCAACAGGCTGCAGAAGTTGGAGTCGCAGTCCGGTGCCGCGATCGACCGAGGCCGGCGTCGGGCTCCGACTGGGCCCTGATGGGCAGTGTTACCATCCCTTTGCAGGGACGGCCTGGAAAAGCTGGAGCATTCTTTTCACCTCTGTTGTGGCAGAACAGAACCCCAGGTGCTGGGCAGCGTTTAGGTTTATCTCGATTTAGCCAAATGTTGTTACAGGCATTTTAATAGAAAGTACTGGATTGATAAATGGAGGCAAGTAAGGCAGGTTCTATTCTGCATCAACAGCTCGTTGGGGGAAGGGGTGAATGATTAACAGATTTCAAGTTTGATCTCTGATAAACTTCTTGAGGAATCTGGAAGAAACTGCCCAGGCTTTACCCAAAAGAAAAAAGAAAAGCTAAATAAACACATCCCGAGTATATTTTCTTAGCTAAAAGAGTTCTTTTTCCATTAAGTATGTGGTTTTTGTCTCTTTTGGTCATGAATGTGCTTGACTAGCTTTCACCTATTATAGTCAAAGATTTGGGGGGAAATACCTAGAAAGTTCAGTTTATAGTCAAGTAACTTACTTAAAAGTTTTTTCTTTGAGAATTTCCTTTGAAAGCTCAGTTGCTCAAATGAAAAATTCTTAAACAATGCACCCACTTTTTGCACATTAAATTACATAAGCAATTTATGATTTGGGGCAACAGCAATTTGAAACAAACATCAAGAGCCAAAACCAAGCAAAGAACTAAAGCAGTTCTGTTCTCCGCCACTCCCCCCCAACCAAACCCTCAAAAATTCCTCAGCATTTCTGCCAAATCCCTTTCTCATAATCTGCTGCAAATTTGTTATATTTTGGTACTAGTGAGGGCTGGCCCATGAATAATCTCGGAGGTAGTGAATATGGTGAAAATTGTGGAGAAAGTAATGGGAACAATAGTTTTTGTGTAAGATATTTAAAAATAAGGGTGTTTGTGTTTTTCTAAATGTTTGAAAAGCTGTAATAAAAAAACTTTTGTCAGTGACAACCAGCTTTAGTCAAATAATCATAAAAAGCCTTTAGAATCCACCCAGCAGGAAGAATGAAATGTTTCTCTAATTTTTCTTCTACCTTTAGCTTTTTGTTTTGAACTTTACCTATGAGATGTCTGACAGTGCTACATCTTACCTTGTGAAAAGCTTAAAGGATGGGATTCTCCCTGGCAGAATTAAAGCAGAAGTAAGAGTGCTGTAGGAAGAGATTAAAGATGGAAATTAGACTCTTCTTCTATTTTTAAGATTTTCATATTGCATATTGTGGGTCTGAGTGTTTTACTGATTGCACAGGAGGGAGGGAGAAAGGGAGGGAGAGAGAGAGAGAGAGACAGAGAATGAAATGTGTGAGTAGACTCTACACTGTAGAGGAATGCATGGATAAATAATTAAAATTTAAGCATCATTTTAACCCATGAATTCCCCCCATTCCCCTCTCCCAACACTTGCACAAACACCATCTCACAAAGGCATGCACACACAGAACTAGAACTGCCAAACCAGGGGCATTTCAAGGCTTTCCAATCCTTCCTTTCTGCTCAGTCTCTGATGGGGGTGCCATTGAGCAGCAAAATGAGGCAGATGGTGGCTCTCCACAGGGCCAGGGAGAGGACGGAGCCAGAGAAATGTAAAAATAGATAAAAATGAAGATGTTATGAGGATTTAGCTCATGATGAGGCTGCGTGTAAGCTAAACTCAACCCTTAGAACAAATTGGGCTTTTAAAATTCTTTAATGTTAATATTTCTCTCCTAAACTGATACTGTAACATGTATTCTAGTAGATTGTAAACATTTTCCCAAACATTTTCCCAAAGTTGTCCTGTTGCTTATGGGAATGTTGCTTTATTACAATGACCTCAAATGCTGTTCCAAAGTAAGCAGTGCATGTTTTAGAAATAAATAAGTTTTAAAAAGTTATTCTGACCCATTTTCTTAAGGTCTGAGTAGAACACAATTATTTTTTTAAATTAACGATAATTATGTTTTTAAAACTTATTTTTTGAAAGAATTTCCAGGCAATCTTGGGAGAAGGACCAGTAAGTTACTAGTCAGCATTGGTAATGAAGAGGTTGAATCTTTTGATGCCCATGCATTGGGAACATGCTGCCAGGGAGGAGAGCTGAGCTGGGACCTTGAACACACGTGCAGAATAGCCAATTCTTCTCACGTAATAGCCAGGATGAGATTTTTGGAAACGAATCTGATTGAGTTTTCCCCTTGTTGAAAATCTTCCAATAGCTTTGCATTCTTTACCAGAGTTTGCAAAGACTCACAGGGCACCCTCCTCCCTCTTTTGTGCAATTCCAGTCACTTGCCTTTGTTCCTGATACTCCAGCCACCTGAGCCTTCTCTCTAGCACTTAAGCAGCCTTTGCAATTGCTGTTCCCTCTGGCTGGAATATTTTCCCCAAGATCTCAGCATGTTGGATCCTTCTCATTGTTTGGGTTTTAGCTCAGATGGTCTTCTTGAGAGGCCTTCCCTTACTCCCATTCCCAGCCAAAGTCACGCACACCCCTGCACCCTGCTCTCCACTAAGTTTAATTTCCTGGTAATGCTTATCACTACCTGATTAGTTCTGATTTACTTTTTCTTTACTCATTTTCCTCCACTGTCCCCTCTTTACAAGGTAAGCTCCCAGTGGCAGGGCTGCGATCTTGTTCACTGCTAGCACGGTCCGTGGGCCATTTAGGTGCTTGGTGACTATCTGAAAATAGCATGAAAGAAACAAGCCTCTGTGCCTCACCAAGTGCTCCTCACACTTCTGTCTTCTTATTGGACTTTCCAGAAACAGAATTTCGGGAGCTCCCATGCCCTTGTGCTTGGGGCTTGATTGATAGAAAAGAGTCTTTTATTTCACTGTGATGCCAAAGTGATTTCATTACTGGAGAAGTTAGTAAATTACAAGAAGATAGGTTTTTGGACTATATTAACCCCAAACATGTTTCGTATTCTCCTAACTATTCTAACTAGAAAAAAAAATCAGAAAGTGGGTTTTCATGTTAAAAACACAGTTTTAACAGCTCTTTGCCCAGGGACAGATTGCCCCAAGTGCTCTTGGCTTTGGCCCATTGTCAATAGTTAAATCTTAACCCAAAGCACATGGCTCTGGTTGGTATGTGTCTCAGCAGGAGGTTATTAGAAAAACTTTAAAAGAGGATTTGCTATGTATGCATGGGGACTGGAAGGATAGCCTCTAGGGGGATTAGGGGTGGTGGTTAACTCTTAGGACCTCTAGTTCCTTTTTGGTACAGTGGGACTCTATTTCATAGAACTATTGGGAGGATGAAGTGAGCTAATGGCACATAGTAAGTGCTCAAAAAATATTAGCTATTATTACCAACGATTCCCCTTCATTCTCCTGAATTCAAATTTTGGGGTAATTGTTTTTCCTAGACAAAGGGTGTTGGGGATAGGGAAATACATCCTAACTTACTACTTAAATATGAGGGCAGAACTGTGTTTCACCCTCCATTGTTTGCAATGCTTTGGTGAAGGGGCTGTGGGTTCATCCACCCTAGAGTGCTGAAGTCCTTTGCTGCAGCTCTTTAGGATTTTGTTTTCTAGTAGTTCTGCTAGCAACACCCACCCAGGACTAAGCAGTTCTTGGATGAGGCAGTTACTGACCGCCACTCCCCTTCCCCGCCCCCTACCTTCACTGGCAGTGCTCAAACTTGACGTAGTACAGAAATAGCTTCCTGTCATGTGCCTCTCAGGAAGGTATAAAAATGAAGTCCAATTCCTGCTCGACTTTTCCCACATAACTCTATTCCGAAGTGGGTGTGGTTTTTATTTTGTTTTGGTATTTGTTTTGTGTTGGGGTTTTTGAGTGTGAACATCCAGATAATTTCTTTCCTTTTTACCAGCTTAACCTAGGGTTTCCAAACGAAGTCTTTTGGCTACAGCACAGAGAACATGAGGCTTTAGTTCTTAGTGTAATTCTGTGTACATGTGTGGGTATGCGTGTGCAGGGGTGGCCTTGCAGGAAACGGAAAGGGCATGAGCCCCAGGTGCACTTCTGGATGCTGATGCTTCCTGCGTGGTGCATGGGTGAGCCAGCCCTCAGGTGCCCTGGGGGGAAGCCTGGATTACTCTCCCTCTACTGCTGCGGGCATCGGCTAACCCTGGCCAGAGTTAAACTTCCTCTTCACCCCTTCTGTGTTCCGCCTCCTGCCTCCAGCTAAAATGCGGAAAATGCAGCCTGGCAAGGGTGGAGAATTCCACTGGGATCTGCAGGCCCTGTTTGGTGGAGAATACTGAGCGTACCTGCCAGCAGCACTTTCCTCCTCCAAGGCCCTGGTTTTCTTTGTCAGAACCATGGCTGTGGAACCGGGTGGGAGATCCCTAACCTCAGCGAAGGAGGGCCCAGGTCTTCCCCAGCTTTGGGAGACCCTGCAGCACCACGTCATTTCTACACGCTCTGGGCCCGTGTCAGGCGGCAGGATCCGCGGACGTGGCCCGTGTGTAAAGCCCTGTGCTGCTATGTCCAGGCCACCCCTCAGGTCCCTGTGTTTTAAAGTGATAAGGGAAGAAAGGATGAGTATGCCTTGAAC